AGGTTTCATAAGACCAAATCATAACTTGATAATGCACTTCTGCAGTTTTCCCCTGGTGCAAACCCTAATCAAACAATCAGCATTCAACTGGGAGTACCTCTGTTTCAACTTCCAGAGATATAAAAAGATATTTCCAAAGAGAGAAGCAAACTGCCCTAGCTTACCTGCCCTTGGAGATAAAATACCAAAATCCTGGCTATAAATAAAACCCTGAGAGACTCTCAGACTTAGGGATCTATCATTATGGCAGTAGTTGTTAATTTTGGGGATTCACTAGCCCTTTACTCTTAAATGATCTCCAGTTTTCCTAAAAACATAAAAATGCCCATGTGATGGAGCACAAAACCAAACATCTGGTTCTTTACTCTTGTACGGGTGACTCCCGACATTTCACCACAGGTTACAGTAAGGATCTTCCAGTAATGCTATTTATCAGTCCTTATGCTAAATTTTTCCAAGTATTATTAAAAAATAATTGGTCTTAGAATTCCCTGAGGTGAAAAAAATAAGGATCTAGAACAATTGGTAACATCAATTTTTACAGTAACTCTGAGTAACCACATGAATTCAAACTGAGATTTTTTTTCAGTGTTTCATAAAAACTGTATGAAGTTTTCATAACACTGTTAGAGGAAGGTATATGGGTATTTGATCTAAACTACCGATTGCTAGTGGTTGTCTCTCAGATTCCAAAACGATCTCCTCCTGCTAAAAATTATTATTTACTGAGAAGAAAGCTCTGAGTTTTAATAAGGACGTGTGCCATAGAGAGTTTCGCATTTAGTGGATTTAAAAAGTATTACATTTGATTATTTAACTATTTTGAAGCTTAGTTCATTAGGAGTAATTAACAGGACCTCACTTCCTACAGATGCAAAAATAACATGACAGGTATTAAAATACTTGGGAGGTTGAAAACTGTTGGAGAGAACTTTTTCTAATCAAGGTGAATCTTTATAAGCCTAATTACAGAACTTCTCGTTACACTTTTAGCTTGGAAAAACTAGTATTACTTTGCTTTGTGTTGAAAATGAAGTCCTAAACTTATTCACAAAAAAATCTTTTCTGCAAAGACAGCATGTACGTTAGACTGCTATGTTCCAGGACTGGAATAAGAAAAAATTTTGTGATCCTGAGTCAGGAGACTTAAGGTTTGGGTCTCATTTTGGCAATAGTTTTTGGATCTGATCTTGGGTGACCTGTCTTTGTTGCCACAAGAGTAAGTTAAAGCTACTGCTATTTCTCTACCTTTCAAGGTGGTGTAAATCTGAATCAATCTGTGTCAGAAAAAGTCCCTGCTCTGAATATATGGATAACACCTGAGGCAAGACAAAGTGATTTTATCTGCATTAACTGAAGAGATCAATTTTAGGTATACCAAGACAGTAAAAGCATATATGACATTATTATTCTTGAGTTTATGAACAATAGATAAAACCTGGAGACAAACAGTGCTTCAAACACTTTCCTTAAGTGATTTCAGCCTGCTGACAAATCAGGCCTTTGAGGAAGGATGATGTTACATCCAATCTTGCTATAATTTTTCATGCATTTAATCTAACTGGCAAGTACTGGTTGGTTGTTTAAGACTTTATTACAAGTCTCCAAGCACCCAGACAGTGCTTTAGCATTCTGATGCTAAGGGGTTTACAATCTAATTTAGACTTTATTAGCACATGTAACCTGGTGAATGGGGAGTGCTTGGTAAATTTATACTATTCAACTGTTTTTCACAAAAGAATCGTTCCACAGGTCTGACGGTATCGAGGATAATAGAAATGGTCTAGAACAGTGGAGTGCCTGGGGACAATGGGGCTAAACTCATTGCAGGAACACTGCTGCTAAGTCTGCAGAGAGAATAATGTAATAATGCACACAATTTTCTAGGTGTTTGGTTTTTTACAAAGGCCGTACAAATTAACAGATTAAACCATCTCATACACATACCTCTGTCAAGGAGGTACGTGTAGGCCCTACTTTTAGAAAAGGTTTAAAAAGGTTTGAGTTCAAACTCTTTAAAAGCTTCTGCTGAAATTATGCCTTTAAGTATCTCATGCACTAAAGTATGCAGAGGAATTGCATATTGGTAAGGATATATTAGCCATTTAGGAAGCATTGTGAGAACAATGCAGTAGAGTCAGCACATTTCTACGCATATTTTAAGAGTCTGTTGCTTTGCACTAGGGCAGAGATCTCTGCTGCACCATGACAAGGACTGAAGTTCCTGACTAGTTGTCTTCTGTGGTCTTGAATGAGTCAGTCTCTGTTTTGTGGCGCTTTGCTTTACTTGATCTTTTCCCAGATCAAGAAAGGCAGAGTACTTTGGTCAGAAAGTTTAAATTAACTTCTGCCAAACGTATTGTACCCGGTTGCTGTAGGCAACACAATTCAACAGCTTCATATTTTAGTACTTTTAAGGTCAAAAAAAATATCTTTTAACCTCCTATTCTTTTTTATTGTTTATGTATTTTCAGGCGAGCGCAACACTCTGACGAATAATGAGCATATTGCCAAATGTGAATAGCGTGTATTTCAATGGAAACTTAATCTGGAAGTTTGACATTCAGATTTTCCACTGACATCATGAAAACAAAATGAACAGACTTTATATCATTTTTTCACTAAGTATTTCTTGCATGAAATCTAAATTTCCCTCTTCCTGTTTTTTCTTCCAAATTACTGCAATTCAGCCTCACTACCAGGACTACAAAAATTCAGACTTCTATAAATGCAAAGCTCTGATGATTATTTTTTTCCCCCTGGGCCTTTTTTTCTTTCTCCTTCTTCTCAGGTTGAAAGGAAACAAATACAGGTTTCTTCTGAAAGGAAAAGAACAAAAAAATTCCTATTGCCTACAAGGGAGGGTGTTTAAATCCATTCTCCCCAGAGAGATTTCAATTAGAATAATTGCTACCCACTTAAAACTCCCTTCATGGTAGCCATTGTCTAAGTGGTATTCGGTGCTATCAGCCAAAGAAAAAGGTTTATAGGATGGTTATGTGCCCCCTAAAGAGGAGCAGGGTTTAGAATAAACTGGCCACACAGGCTGCAGATCTGTAGTGTTCCAATCCAGCCTGGCCTAGTGAACACAAGGCATGATTAAAGCTGAAGTTTGAGGTGAGAGACTTCTTCAAGGGTAAGAAATGCACTTAATGCCTTCAGCAAAGACACTTTCCAGGAATAAGAACCTTTCAGGCACTCCTAGGAAGCATTTGTTTCTAATCGTCCTTATTCCCACTCTGGAACTCTAGATGTGTTCGCATTATTTGTACTAGTGTTGGAGGCCAGTGTCTGGCATAGCTCAGCTGATTTGTACAAATCCCACCTGGGATGCAGCAGACTGCTAAAGGAGCTGGTCTGTAAAAAGTTTTCTTAACGGAGATTTTCATGTTCCCTGGCGGGTAAAACAAGCTCCTGTTGAATGAATTTGTGCCAAACAGAGGTAGGGAGGAAGGGCTGGAAGAGGAAGGACCGAAATGTCTCGTTGTCCTCAGCATAATCACCCGTGACAGATGTATTTCACATTCTCTCTTTGTATCACAAAGATCAACGGCTGAATCCTCAGTGTCCCAAATCCCCACTGTGTGCTCCTGCCCTGCTTCCAAGGCTACCAGTTAATCTAGTGTAAATCTGTCTGTCTCCCAGCACAGTTTTCTGCTGTCCACAAGCTGCTCTTCAAGCCAGGGGGAGTGCACGACTGAAACTTGGTAATGAGAAAATCCACTGGAGGATCTGAAAGAGTAGGAAGGAAATCGCTGCTGAAAGCATTGGCTTATTTCTATGGAAATGAACAGCTCTAACCGAGCCAGGCAAAGTGGGATCCTCCACAGCACAGCCTGACTGAGACTGAGCAGGGCAGGAGACCTTGGTCTCAAATCCTGAGTGAATGCCCTCCCCAGAAAAGTAGCTGAAGTGGGCACAGAGTGTCTCTTACCTTAGCTAGAAATTACTTTCTGAGAAATCTCTCCTGAGATAGTTTTAGTAAAACTGGACAACCTCACACATTAAGATCTGTTTTCAGCGACTGCTGCCAAAATTATGTTTTTTCAGAAAATTCCGGGTTGGTTCTAATTCCAGTGGTCCTGAAGGAATGCTGAAAGACAACAGTGTGGGGCTGGCAGAGATAAACTTGATACTCGCTGCAGGCTTCTAAGAAATATTGCTAAATTTGAGTGATAAGATGTTTGCAGTGTTAATGTGGTTAAACTCTTTTTCCACTGATGCAAACTGAAGCTGTAAATCAGGAATTTTTTCTTTTGCATATAAATACTGCAGTGCTGTGCAACTGCATGAGCTTCTGAACCAGAGGGCTTTGTTAGAGGCGTCCGTAGCTGAGCAAGCAGAAAAAAAAGTAAGCTTAAGTGCAAGGGTAAATAAAGGTTGTTTATGGAGATCACTAGTATGGCATGTGTCTGACAGTACTGGTAAATATGAGCTGGTTTTTAAAGGACAGAAAGTAAAGAATGTCCATAAAAGACATCGAAAAGATAATCTGCAAGCAGCAACAGGGCTAGCAGGCAAAAGTACTAGCTTTTTGTCTGTTCTTCACAGACATTTTGCTGTAGCAGAACTCCCTCTTGAGAATGAAAACCCCCACAAAAAAACAGCTGCAGGCAACACATTTATAAAAGCAGCTATTCAGTCCAATACGACTGAACTGAAGCTTGACTTGCATTCAGCTTTGTCTTGAATACAAAATAATACCAAATTCCAGCATACTTACAGCCATAAATTACACTTTCAATTTAGTCAGGATTATCTCATCTCACTTCTTTCAGCTGTCAAGGTGTACAATACAGTACAAATGCCTTACACACAAATATGTCCTACTCTTTCTCTGTGAAAGCTGTTACTGCCCACAGACTGGCTTCCTGACAATAAGTACCAGTCAGAATGTGGAAAACACCACTTCTTTAAATTCACCACTGTTTAAAATAGTGACATTATCTAAGACAGCAAATCATGTCAAATCTGAGAAATAGGAAAATAAAAATATGTACCTTTCTGAGTACAGCAGAAGCTGTTCCCTCCAATGTTTTCCTGTGCTGCTCTGATGTGGATTTTATAGAATAAGAGTCCAAGAGCCTGCAGTATTCAGTCACATTCGATCACATCACAGGAATAGCTTATCAGTTCTGTTACACAGACTCTAAAAGGAACGGTGTCCTTTTCCTCCAACTCCTCCTTTCAAAGATTTCTGCACTCCTTAAAGGTGCTCAGTGCTCTAATAACCTTAGAGAAAGCTATTCATCTGTCCCCTAATGACAGTGTTCTTGTTACTTAGTTACAGCACAGCGAATGCTGACAAAGTCAGGCGTGAGCCAAAGCTGTGCGCAGTGTAAATGCACCGTGTTCAGTCAGGCAGCTCCAGGAATGAATTTGGCCCAGGGGATTTGGTTCTTTTTTCAGTTCAGACGTGGCATGCTACAGCCGGTGCACAAGTCGTAGAATCAAGACCTATGCATGTGATTTCAATATTGAGTGCTGCTGGAGGGAAGGGAGGTACGTATAGCAAACCGCTTCACAGCAGCTACACAAGGAGGTGCAATCAATATCTTATAAATAGTACACTTGAATTTCTATAGCTTCTTTTTGGAAAAATACTCTGCTACAAACAGCTCTGAGATAGAGGAAGAGGATTATTTTAATAAACCTTGTTCTTGGCTTGGCTGTCTATTTTGTTTCCTTAGAGGTGGAAACAATACAATCAAGCTGCAATTAAAGTGCGCCATACAAGAAAATAATAAGAAAAAAGAAAACACCCCATGGTAGTACTTCTCTCCTGTATTGTCATTACAAAATGCAGACCCTAGTCAGTGAGTGTTTGAAGCTCTAGCCTAAAAACTTTTTAAAGATTTAAAGAAAGGGTTTGTGGCAGAAACAGGAGCTAAGAACTAAAAACAGGCTTTGTCGCATGAGGAGACAGCTCCTTGAAAGAATTAGGGACTACCTGAGAGCATGACAGGAGAAGAATAAAAAATTTTAAGTGGATGAATTGAAATAAAAAATGTGAGGGGAAAAAAAAGGTAGGTGAAGATCGAAGTGATTTTAATAACTCTAAACAAAACATAAGTAAGACCCAGCAATACAGCACAGTACCCAATGTCAATACAGAATAACTTTGAAGTATCCCTTCCATATATAACAGAGCTTTGGCTCAACAAATATTTTCTTATAATCCAGACATCAAGCAGAACTAAGAATGAAATAAGCAATACTGCACTCCAGCTTCACTGACAGTAATTTCCTGTCTGGTCCAAAGCTGGTTGTGAAACCGTGCAAGTTGTGGCTGCACAATCCCTGATGCCCCCACAGCTGAAATTTAACTGAGAATTTCTTTAACTGCTGGGCTGTGGAGTAAAGAACTTGCACTGACCTGGTCTGTAAGCTGCAGCTATTCTTTGGAGATGTCCTTGCAGTTAATTACAACTAGTTGTGAACTAGTGGGTGGTATCAGCCCAGCTTCTGCTCAGCAGCGTTAGTGCCAAGACTTACCAGACCGAGCAGCATCCCATGACAGCACTTGTAAAGGACTTCTAACTTTGAGCTGAATCATGTTCCTCGGGCTAAAAGCATGGGAGGAGCAAACTTGTTTCTGCCTGCCCACAACTGTTTACTTGTATGATAAAGGCTATTCCTGCAAAGTAACCCTTTCTGTCGTGCAGATATTTCATTACGGAAATAAAAATGGTGAATGGCAATAACCGCAAATTAGATGAAGCTAGAGGTTCACTTAGTTAAACCACACAAACTCTGTGATGATGTCCTTAAGCTGTTGACAGAAAGTTGAAATCTCATAATAACATATTATGGGATTTCTTTTTTTTTCTCCAAGAGAAGTTTCCTTGGCAGGCTGTTAGACATTGGCTTATGCTTTTCTTTAGTTTACCTTTTTGCACAAGACAGGGTTTATAATGGATATTTTGGTAAGTTTTTAGTAACAGAATAACAATGCTACAAACTGTAGAGTGCATACATTTATACACTAGTCACATAACTTATCCTTGTTTAGATAGTAAAAAATTAAATATATTAATACCTAGGTTAGAGAGCTGTAGAGAGATATAAATGTGTTGGTGTAGTACAATTCTTACGTAGAGACAAGATCTTAAAAGATGGATTTGGCATGGCAGAATGTCAGGATACTGCATTCCCAGGACACATCTATGGGAAGATGTAGATGCAGGACGTCTTGGCTTGGGAGCAACATCACATGAGCTGCAACAGGTCAGAGAAACCAGCTAGTTCAGACCGACTCGCTCTGACAGTTCACAGAGCTAAGCTCACATCTGTCAGCACAAACTTGAGTAGACTTGTCTGCTCACAGAGCTCTCAGTCTCAAAGGGAGGCTACACAGCTGCGATCACATGATGAGACGTGGCAGCGCTATCCCCACTTGCTGTGCATAGCACGGAGCTAAAGCTTGCTCAGTAAATCCATGCCTGGCATAACAACAAATGGCATTCCCTTCTTCCCATAATCCTGGCCAGAGACTGTGTTTTAAAAGTCTAAACCAAGCGAGACAGGAAAGCTAGCACATTATCATAAACCCCACAGATCATGTGAAACACTGACTAGAAGAAAATTCTTTTGAGCTTGCATTTTCAGAATAGTAGGAGGGATTTTCTTCTGTGTGAATTTGCCGTTTTCAACAGCCAAATTAGTTTCTCTTGCTGAGAAACGTGCAAAAGAGGAATTTTGAGAAAGGAAGCACCACTCATGTCTGAATCAGGAAACTGCCTCGAGATATCTAAAATTGGAAGCAGCTAAAAGAGAAGAAAGACGGCCAGCAAAGCTGTACTCTAACTTTTAGCAGATTATACAAGCAGTTAGGCCAGTTTGTGTTTACTGTGCATCTTAGAGAAGTTTATCGTTTAGACTGAAAAGGCTTCCTGCTTTCAAAGACTTTATAACTCCTCACAAAAACTTTGAAGCTCAGTTAAATCAACCATATTTCTATTTCTTCTCCCCTCGCTTTTTTGATAATATACGTTGAAGCATTTGAATGAAGCCAAGAACTTGTGTTACTGGAAGCTTCACCTTTTTCTGCTGGCTTTTTCCCTCACCTGCAATCAATTACTTGTTTAGAACAAACTATGAACAGAAGATTCTATGTCAAGAAAGGAAGGACTAAAATGACATAAATTCAATTCTAAACAATAAGTCCTATTCTCAAACAAATACCTGAAAATAAGAATTAAAGAGCAAAGGAGAAATAACAAAACTAAAATGCAAAATTATTTCTGTTGGCCTATGTGCCTATGTACAAGTGTTTCCAGCAGAGGAAAGGCTTTTAGGTGAAGGATATATTCTTTTTTAGTAAGATGTCTGCTCAGGGCACTTAGCAATTATTAGAATGGTTGTTTTTCCTTTAGAATTACAATATTTAATGGAATTTAAATTATGACCTGATTTAGAGTAATTCTGTGACGTGTGTACCATTCTTAGCTTTCTCAGTGTCGTTGTTTTAAATACATTTACAGACCTAACATAAAAATTATTAGCTAATATATATTATATATATTATTAGCTAATAATAATTAGCTAATATTTGTCCCATCTTAAAATGTTGTAAACTTTTTAGACTTCACATAGCAATCTGACCACTACCTTGATCCCATAAACTAAAATTTATCATTTTCTTTCCTTACCAATTTGACTTTTAACTCTCCTAAAGATTGATTCGTCAAAGTTCTTAAAAGCAGACATCAAAAATGCTGGAAACCAGCACAGTTTGACTTTGAGCAAACAGCTAGAGATTCCTTCATGCCAATGCAAAATGATGCCCAACAAAAAGTAGTATCAGCAAACTCTTGCTACACAAGTCAGTTAAAAAGTTTCAGATATTCAATACCAATAAAAGTGGTAAAAATACTTCTCTGGTTTACTCCCGATCTGTCTTTGAACAAGGGTCCTCACTTGTCAGCATAACCTATTTTAGAACACTATCCACATAGTTAGCAGTTTGAATCATTCTAAGGGTTTACCTTGCTTTGAAAAAAGACTGACAGCCACCTCTCCTCCCACTGCCATTTGTTGTGTCATTTTGGCAGTTCTGGGATAGGGTTCTCTCAGCTGCCAGGGGCTGTGTCACTATTTCCACTTTTGTATTCTCATTTGGGACGCCTTTCTTCCACGCTCTCTTTTCCTTTCCGTCCTCATATCTCCTTAATGCTAAGGACACCACACTACATACTAGCAGAGCAAGAACAAGGGGGAAAAAAAAAAGAGTACAATCAGTCAGAAGAGACATGGTAAGAAACCAGAACATCCTACCTATTTCAGAAACCTCCTTGAGTGAGGGTCCAGTTCAGTTCACTGACACTTCCGTAAATTATTAATTAGGTCGTGCCACAAAATGCAAACTTTGATGTAATCCATTTCTCATCCCACCCCCTAAAAATGTGATTACTTCCCAAGATGGTATCTACCTGACACCTCTCTTTTTTCCCCCACCCTGCCAGGTCACTAATCTGGGAACATAAAGAAAACCATGCCTGAAAAACGGGAAAGACAGGAATATGCGTTTGAAAATTCAAAAGTTCTAAAATGTTAGGTGGAAGAGGTATTTGGCCCTGGTTGTCTTTATGAGGAAGAATGTAAGCAAGCTGTTGACAAATGTAAATGTATGACGGAAAAGCACAGGATTCCAAGCTGCCTTTGCGATAAATTCAAAAGAAGAAAATCTCCCTGCTAACCAATTCATGCCTTGCAAGACCCTTATTTTTGTTCTATGAATTCATAAACATTTTGGAAACTTATTACGGTGGCGTTTCCTTTTAATACCCCACTATTTACAGTACACTGCACAAACATCTTCCCCTGGAAATGAACCAAACCACATCTAATGCATGAAGTTAATTTATTACTTTAAATATGACTAGCTACAACTGATAAAAATCTGTGGAACTATGACATTAAGTCTGATAGCTATCTTGTAATTCTTTTTTAATCCCAAGTTTTGAAAAAAAATGCTTTCACACTGCAGAAACACAACGCTTCATGTAAATCATTCCTGATACTAGAATGTATTTGCCACTAAAGGACTTAATGCTTGCTCTCTTAAAATAAATTATGTATTTTATATATGTAAAAAATGCATACCACTAATCATTCTTAATGTTAACCACAAAATAATTGAGTGTAGAAAGCTACAGCAGAGGAACCAAAGCCACATTAGAAACCCCAACTGATAACTAGAATCTGCCTCTAGTCCCTGAGAAAGGTTTTTTGAAGCGTTTTGCATC